TGTGGCCTGCACACGCTTCTCTACTCTCCCCAACACTTTACGGTCTGTCGAGGAGCGCCGCAAGGGCAGCAAGGGCGCCAGTAGTGTGGGACGCGCGACTGGTGGGCTGTCGGTGTGATGCAGCTGTGCCGTTTGCTGGGACGCCGGCGGCCGTGACAGCGAGAGCTGACGGCGGAACGGAAGTTGTGTTGTCCTTTGGGGCTGTCGGCCACGGGGCAGCCACCACCGCGGCGTGGGGCGTTGACTGGGAGGCGGGCAGGCAGAGGAGGACCAACGGGAGCGGGCGGCCGTTCCACGGCCCCGCGGCTTCAACTCCGGCGTCAAAGTATCGCTCCGTGCCACAGGCCACAGTGGCCTAATAGTTTGCTCCGTCGCAAGCGGGCCGCGCCTGATGGTGTGTTCAAGACGCATACAGTTCTCTCTGGGGTCTGGCGTCGTGGCGCAAATAGGTGTTGGCGCGGCCATTAGCGCCACTGGCAGAAGCAGCCAGAGCGGTGCCCTCGCGTCTGCGATGTATTGAGCGGTCGCTGCGGCGGCTGAGGCGGTGCGTTGTTTTGGCTGTGTGGAGCACCTGAGGGCGTCGAGTCTCTGGGCGCGTTCTTCGTCCAGCCCCCGATGTTCTGCGCGCCGCAGCGAGGGTGTGTTGGATGCTATCCGTCCACACGCCCGGGGCGTCCCGGTGTGCAGCGGCCGTTGTCAACCCCACCGCCGCGGCAGGTGGTGAGGAATGCAGGGCGCTGGCAGTGACGCTCCTTTCGCTCCAGACAAAGTGCGCTTTGGCGTTGAGTGGGCCTCTCCGAGCTCAGAAGAAACTCTCCTGACGCCGTACAACTTCGGCGGTCGACACAACTTGACTAGCATCATCGATGGTGAGGGGGGACACGGGTTCCGCCGCTGGCCACGTGGCTGCAGGGAGTGGATGGAGCCCGGCGTGAGTGGCCCGCGGCAACTCCGACGCGGCCCGCTACTTCCGTTCACAATCGCATGGCGGCATTGGGCGCCTGGGTTGGGTGTGCTGCGGTGCGGTGCAGACGGGCGCCCTGGTGGGACCGTTCAACCTGTTGAATCACTCTCCCTGCCGATCCACCTCTTTTTCTCTCTTTGTTGTGTTTCCTTCGCCTTCCCTAGCCAGCACTCCGTAATGAGATCGCAAGAGAAATGCAACAGTGTGGGCCCCGTGCCGGGGACAGACGGCGCTGCCCTCCCTCCCCATCTGTCAGCGGAGGAAACGGTGGAGGAGCGCTTTGTGCACGCCGATGCGAAGAGGCTATTCAACGTGGTGCCGTGTCTGCGCTACCTTCCCATTTTTGGCACCAGTGCGGAAGCCTTCGGGCCAAAGTGCGTGCTGTCAGTGGGATTGACAGAGTTTCTCTGCAAGGGTGTTGCCGACTTCCTCGTCCGTTTTTCACTGTACCCCATGTTCAGGGTGCGTTTCGGCGTTGACGCCATGACGTACCAGCGCTTGCAGAACTTGTCAATGATGGGGTGGTCGATGAAACCGATTGCTGCCATGTTCAGCGACATCTTCAGCTTCTTCGGGTACACGAAGCGCTGGTACTTGGTCGCCTCGTGCGTGATCGGTGCCGCCTTTGCGCTTGCCTTTGGGATGATGCCCGCCACGAAGTCCAGTGCGGCGCCAGCAGCGGTGTTTGTTTTCCTCACCTGCTTCACCAAGGCCATCGTGGACATCCTGACGCAGGGCCACTACAGCCGCCTAATGCGCCGTACCCCCCTCGCAGCCCCGTCGCTGGTGAGCTGGGTGTGGTGGTGGGTGCTCCTGGGCACCCTTGTCGCCTCCGTCATCGTTGGGCCACTCGCCGACGCAAAGATTGAGTGGATCGGTGTGATGGTTGGCGCCGCGCTGCAGCTCCTGACGACGTTCTTCTTCGCGATGAACTGGTACGGGGAGAAGAAGAACCGTGAAAACCGTGCGGAGGACGCCAGGCTGTTGCGCGCAGACCTGTTGGCAGAGGCGAAGGACCGCAATGCAAAGCAGGAGGAGGATGGCGGCGTGGTGGCTGCGGTGAGCGACGACCTCATGCTGGGACTCTCCAACGAGGTGTGCGTGGACGAGGAGGAAGAAAAGGTGCAGCCCCTGCCCAGCTGCTGCTGTGGTGCCTTCGAGGTGAACAAGGAGGTGGCGCGACGCAACTGGAGGATGGTTGTCTACTGCCTTCTCGTGACGGCGGGCTCAGTCATCATGGCCATCGTCACCCTTTTTGGAGGCACCTGGAAATTGCTTGGCGCCTGCGTCGCCGTTTCCGTTTTCCTTTGTGGCTTCGGCTTCTTTGCCCTTCCGCTGGTGATCGCCAAGGTGAATTTGTATTGGTTCATTTGCATGGCAGCGTGCATTCAGCTTCCCGGCGCGATGGACAGCTTTTTCATGGCGGAGCCTGATTGTCTCCCCGACGGACCGCACTTTTCGTACGTATTCTACAACACGATTGGAAGCGTCGTTTCAAACATCGGTGGCATCGTTGGTGTGGCGCTGTTCAGGTACGTGTTTTCGAAGCGGAGCTACCGCTTCACATTCATCATCACCACACTTATGCTGATCGCGGCCAGCGTCTTTGACCTCATCATTGTGAAGCGCTGGAACCGTCCGCGCATCAGCGACAATGTGATGTTTCTGTTCGGTGATCAGGTCGT